ATGGCCTCCCCCAACATCACGGCCCTCGCAGGGACGCTCAATGCGCGGTGCAAGACGCTGCTGAACAATGACCTCAAGAAGATCTGCAAGGAGGAGGGCCTGGGTGTGTCCGGCGTCAAGGCCCAGCTGCAGACCAAAGTCATGGGCCGTACGTCTCTCTCCTGCTCCCCCTCTGCTCATCGCTGCCCCCGCGACATGAGGCTGACTTGCCCCCTCCAGTCATTGAGACGGCGTCACAGCAAAACGACACGGAGCTCTTGAACCGTCTCCGCCACCGCATCCTCAACCACGGCGACGCCCCGCCCGCCAACTACGCTGCACCCACGTCGCCCGCCGTCGCCCACAACGGCGCCTCTGCAGCCGGGGGCTTCAACATGGCAAGTGGATACCGTGCGAATCAGGGCTACAGTCCATTCCAACAGCCGCAGGTCCCGCAGTATCACTTCCGGGAAAGCCCGTTCTACGAGATCCGGAGTCTCGTGCTGGGCGAAATGACGCTGGAGAGTGAGTTCCCTTGCGTGTCGGCCGCCGCTTCGCTAACTGGCCCCAGTCTCACCCAACCATCGCCAGAACATCAACCGCCCTCTTATCATCCCAGCCGAAATGTGCACGCAGTTGAAGGCAGACCCGACGCTGCGTCTCCTGCTCCTCGCGGGGCTCGAACAGCCCCTCGCTGCATACACGCGCATAGACATTTCCTTCCCCAGCCAGGTCGAGGTCAAGATCAACGGCGACGAAGTCAAGGCCAACTTCAAGGGTCTGAAGAACAAGCCAGGCTCGACCCGCCCCGCCGACATCACCGACTACGTGCGAAAGCAGGCGCAATATAGGAACTCTTTCATTGTCACCTATGCGCTGACCCAAAAAGTCAGTCGAGCAGAGGTTCTCTTCCTATTTCTGTCATCTCCCTCCATGGACCCAGGCTGACATACCCGCAGAAGTTCAATCTATATATTTACCTGGCGAAGAAGCAGTCAGTGGAAGATCTCACTGCGCGCATAGCTAAGCGGAATGTCATCACAAAGCAGACAGTAATCAGCGAGATGAGGAAGCGAGCCAGCGATCAAGAAGTTGTCGTCGACTCAATTAACATGTCCCTCAAGGACCCCATCTCGACGCTCCGCATCACGACTCCCTGTCGGTCAAACATCTGCAGCCACAACCAGTGCTTTGACGTGGAGAGTTTTCTTCAACTGCAGGAACAGGCGCCAACATGGCAGTGCCCCATCTGCAACAAGACCATCTCGTTCGAAGGGCTGGCCGTCGATCAGTACGTGGAAGAAATTCTCGAAAATGTTCCCAAGGGCACGGACCAAGTCACAATCGAGCCGAACGGCAACTGGACACACACCCCAAAGAACGACAGCCAGTCCAACCGCAACGGGTACGGCGCTGCAGATGATGATGAGAGCGACTACGAACTCGTTGAAATCATCTCCGACTACCGTCTCTCGGCCATCAAGCATGAGGCGATGCACACGCCCAAGTCCATGACACGGACCCCATCTACCGCTTCACGAGAAGTGTCAACCGCACCGCGAGCAGGAAGTAAGCGGACCTCCGAGGTCATAGATCTCACCCTGAGTGATGACGACGAGCCGGTGAGGCCAGCAAAAAAGGTAGCGTACAGCACTCCCAACAGCCTCCCAGACCAGTCCCGTCGTTATACATTGCCCTCGTTCGGATCATCCTCTGTCCCAATGCGTCCCCAGACGCAAGCACCAACTTCCAATGGCGTTTCCTCGTCCATACTTAGATACGATCAACCTCCGCCTCCTCCTACCCCAACCCTTCCCCCTCAGGGCCATGCCAACTATGAAGCCTATGCGCGCCCACGGCCACCACCCCCTCCAAACTATTACGGACAGGGCACCCAACAATACCCCCAATACCTCGGCTCTTCTCCTTGATTTTTCATTGTACTATTCCATCGCTTGATTTTTCTTCGAGATTATGGTCGCCTTACATGTATTTTATCTTCCGGTGCTAATCATGTCACCGTTTCCAGACTAGGAGAAATTCTTCGCGTCGAAACAGCCGTCCGTCATGACACGGCGAGTCGCGTTGTCGAACGAGTCTTTCCGTTCGAAACGTCGAGTTGGTGGCGGGGAACTAGCGTACGGCGTTTGCTTTGGGATATAGGGTATCGGATTGATATCATGCGAACCTTCAAGGCCAGATCATGAGGAGAGAATTTCTTATTTGGCATGGGTAGCGAAAGCATGGCGTGGAGGACTTGAGGGAATTCATCAGACAAGATATCCTGGGATTGGGGCACGGCATCATTTCTTTTTAACAATGTGGCGGGCATGCTTACTCGCTCACTTGGTTAGTGTATGAAAAGATGGAGAAGAGGAAAGGGAGATCGGAGTAAGCTCTTGAAGGCTCTCAATCAATCAAGAAATGATGACTTATGTTTAGATACTGCTGCGATAACATGGGAGAAGGCTTTTTAGGTGATGAGTTGATATCACGCTAGAAGTTAGGGGGGTCGCACCTTCCCATAGATATGGGACGTCTGCCCAACTTTGTCAGTCGTCTCCTCGGCGTCCTCAACATCCTCGAGATCATGCCCTTGAGCGTCTGAAGCAGCCTCACATTACAGTCAATCATCACGTCTCTGCAATGTCCCGGCATTGCTCCTCTCCAATGGGAAATAGAAATAGGAAAAATTGCCATCGCAGGAGAAGGGAATCATCCGCAACATCACTATTGCTCTGCTGAAGCATGGTGCGGATGTTAGCGCACAGGTTCATAAAACCCGGGAACCAGTGGAAGGTGGGACACCCGCCCGCCAGATAGCGTTTAATTTGGTCGAAATGGATGAGAAATATCTACCACGAAAATCTTTCTGGAAGTTGACCTCTACGCCAAAGGCAGGGTGCACACAGCGAAAAGCAACAACGTCATCTCGTTCCTTTAGATTAGCGGTCAAAGGCATTTTTCACAAGTAGGGTGAGGAACAATGTGATCTTTTCTTGTAATTGGATGGTGTATTTTGAGTCACGTTTTGTTACTTTCCTAATCATTCGTTTCTCTTGTACAAAATTATTCACGAGCAAGATGTTATCTCTTACCAGGTATTGAACTCAAGAGATGTGTATAGACCAGCTTTGACTGACTGTCTTGTTAAGTCCTGGATTGGGCTTTGTTGGCATGCTCGGATTAATTTCATAGTATTGTCCACTGGTTGAAATGCCCTGGATTGTCATTGATACATGCGTTGTCTGATCGTCCTAATGTGGGTTGGAATAACAATTTCTGTTTATCCATATTCTCCAGTCAGAGAAAAGATCACGGATGTGAACTTCGGCCTTGAGTTTAATCATCAATCCGTTACCCACGACTTCTTTGATATCCCGTCTCCATGGAACACCATATTGGACCTTGAACATATCAGAAGAAGAATGATTGAGCCTTGGTTCGCCAAAACCGGGTTTGGAGTGACACAAATCTGGGAGTTGGTTTGAGGTCGGAAGAAGTTCTTTGGCGACCCTATTTTTATACCACATTTCTCAACTTTGTCGGATGGCTGGGATGGGATTAAATGGATGCGGTGTTGGAGCATGTGTTGAGACTGCTGTGACTGGGCGCGTTGATTGGATTAGCTGGTATGTCGGTATATGCAATCGAGGCAATACTTACACTGTGACTCTATTGCTTTGCTCGCACGCCACTGAAAAATATCTTTCTCCAAATTTGCAGTGGAAACCCCGTTTTCTGTACGACGGGATACATTCTGAGACCAAGAACTCTCCTTTGCAAATACAGAGAGAGATGTATCCAAGTACAATATGGGTGTCATCTCTAAACCTCCCGTGCCTCGTTTCAAGTAATAGCCGAGGATGCTTATGGTGTTATCCACGTACAAGGCCTGTATGGTATTTATGTTAACCCACTATACAAGCAGTATAGTAAAAGATTTTGGATCTAGATGCAGGGCGTATTACCTGTTTTGTAACACATGTGGGTACAATGCCACCAGCCATACTGAACCTGAGGTGATGGCTGGTGTGAAGGATTCCACTCACATCATTCAATAGCAAATTCTTGGCTTTCTTTGTATCATCTAAAATGTCTCGAAAGTTTACTTATCTGCCCTTATCTTGACATACCTTTGCTTTTTCCTAATATGCTTGTGGATTTCGCAAAGGAGTAAAAGTGGCGACAAACACTTTCAGTTCTCTACCCCTTACTCCCCCAACAGGTATTTTCAATCCATACTAAACATCGGATATGTGGTACCCTTAAGGATAGGACGGCCTAGCACAGTTTATAGCAACCACAAACTCCTCTCTCCAAATTTGTATTTTGCTATTGCGTTTGTGCAACGCAGCTCAACAATAATGTATTCTTCTCTAATGCTGTTCTTTCTCCACTGCTCTAGCGCTAACAGATCGCCCAGCATAATGTTCTGTCGTTAACCATTTCCAAGCTCCTCGCCATTCCAACGCCTTCGTGTGTTTAATTGACAAAACCTTCTCTGTGCGACATCCGAAGCCAAGCTGAAGAACAGTTCTCCTCGTCCGCTGTAAGTTGACTAATACACCGGCACATTTGACCAAATTATTCCCAAAATGACAAAGACAGCTCCTCTTTCCCTTTGACTGCGGTCCTTCAATCCTCGTTGCAAAACGGCGTGCAGGATTGCGAATACCACGAGTCTTTACCAAATGCGGAAACCCGCGAATGCCTTCCCAGTACGCAGGATCAAAGCACTAGAATAGGACCTAGGAATAATGGCGTATCAAACAACACCGCATTCGCCGCCTTTGCTCTTCCAATCAAAGGTTTCAAATCGCTGCGCCGGACGTCAAACCACATCCGTACAAGTGAGGGGTAGCTAGTTATTCAATCAAAGAAACTGGACCCCACCCATCTCACCTCCCCGATATCATGACGAATGATTATGTCCCACGTTGCAGTAATTCCATCTCGTTTAAATGTTGCAGTAACTATATAAGATGAAATATCGCTCATTGTTGCAAGAAATGTTATCAGCATCGATAGTTTAGTGGTAGAATTGAAGCTTCCCATGTCGGAGCATGCTTCAGGCACGGGTTCGATTCCCGTTCGATGCAACATTCCCATGTTCCGTTCTTTTGGTGTTCCTTTTTTTGCTATTACTGCTTCCTTGCTTCATGAAAATATAGAGCGGCATGGATGGTGCCCACGATCATTTCTGCGGGCTCCTGCATTCAATTCCGTGCAACACGACGCGACGGTTTCCTGCAGGAACTTGTACTACTATCACCACTATCACAGCTCATAGCTCACTTTGAAGTCTTCGGTATCCATAAAACGTAGCAAGCATGATTATGAATGTCCTTTGGACTAACAGAGGGGGCACAGGAATCTACCCAACCCAACCCTCCCAGTCTGCAAACCCACTTTGCTGCTAGGTCAAAGAATTTGCCCAACCCATGGTAGCCAAGAGGCCCAGGTATATCCACATACTTCAGGACTAAGCAATGCTGCTGCAAGAAGCCGAACATTGTTCCTCCAGAGCCAACGCTTGGCGGTGGCTGAAAGTGGCAGAGCATCTGAAATCCATCAGTAGCTCAATGGTACTGCCAGCCATTGCCACAGGGCGCGGTAATAAGACATCCACATATATCTACACATCGCATTGGACACAGTGCTCAGTTCTGAATTGCTAGCCTGGATCCTGCTGCTCGACCAAGAAAAAGCAGAAAGTGAAATCGGGTCCTAATATCGCCCAACTAGCGCATGCTGGTAACGCATGGAAGTGGTGAAGAAGAGACATTCATCGCGGCTGCACAGCAGGGAAGAAGCGGGGGCCCGAAAACCCATAAAACTGCACGCTCTCAATGTCGATATTGCCATCAGGGACAGGGCTCCAGAGTTTGAGCAAAATGTGCTTTCCTGACCTGGAAAGTTGTTAGGACATATGATCCGTTGATGCGTATAAAGTAACACTTACACAGCAGGGTGAAACTTGATGGTAATCTTGTTCTTGTTCTTAGCAATGAAGAACTTGGCATGCGGGGTGAGGCCCTCAGTCTCGGGTACATGGTCCGTGGGTTCAATACGGCTCGGAGTGCGGAGACGAGTGGCTCTGATCGGGTCCGAATAGCGTGACGGCCTCCAACGACCCCCTCTCAAGTACTCCGAGTTCTCGAATCGATTTGGCGGGTAACGAGGGGATAACGGGTCGTCTTCCTCGTCGTCGCTCTCTGGACGCCAGCGGCTCTCTCGGCGCATTCGGTCGGCCATGATAGCGGCGCTGGGTAGTTCTTCATTTTCATCTGACTCGTCATCTCCACTCTCGGTGGTAACTGTGAATGGGGGTGGAGTGGGTGCTGAGATTCCGGCAGCCGTAGCGTGCGAGTCTTCGTTCGGAAATTCGCAGTTGTCGGCGATGAAGTTGTCTAGGAAAGTGGCAGTCCTCCGCTCATCTCGACGCCGTTCTCGATTCGCTTCCATTTGGAGCTGTCGGCTGCGCAGCCTCAAGCGCTCTATTCTGTCCTCGACAGCTTCTTCCATGGCTGGGCGGGAATGTTCCCAAATGTACGGATCGTCAATCGCTTCTCGGAGAGACAGTGTTTCGTTCTCCAAAGAAGAACTACTCGGGCTAGGAGATAGTCGCGGGGACGGCGAGCCGTATTCGATCCTGTAGTCGGCCGTGCCGGCGATGAGCTCTTCGGCCGACATGGACACGAAAATTAGGCCTTCTTGTACTCTGGAGAACGGTTAGAAATGATGGTGTGCAGAAAGCCAACACATACGGCGCTGTGAAGCCTCGATCTGGAGCCTTGATGACGAGCTTCTCCAGAACAAAAGGCATCTCCCCGATGTGCTTGAGAAGCAAATTGCACTGCGGGCGTTCGCTACAATAGACACTCTTGTCATTCTTAAGAACATTCTGGACCTTGTAGAGCCCTTCCGAGGTATACTTCTCATACTCTCCACCATCGCAGGTTGTAATCTCCATCTTCAAGCGCCCAGGCACGACCTGGCCCTTGTAGCCATACTTGAAGCCGTCCCATGGCGGTGGCGCGTTGGCGCCGTGCTCTATTTTCCGCCTCTTTGACACTCTCTGGGAACTCTCGGCTTCGGCGGCAGGGCTGCGCGGGCGAGTGCTTGCATGGAGAAGGCCGAATGCGCCAGGACTGGAGAAGCCGCTCAGGGACCCCAGGGCATTGGCGGCGTCCATATCGGCGGATCGCTGCTCGCGCAGACGGGCGTGCGAGCGGCGCAGGTAGCGCTCGCTGGGAGTGGCGCGCGGGCGGTCGGCGGAAGTGGATGGCGGCGGGAGTCTCCTGGGCTGTGGAGGGAGAGGCCCTGGCGGCGGCTCTCTTTCTCGCGGCGGGATTGTGCGGCGAGCCCAGACACGGCGCAGAGCGCGGGAACCAGCTTCCAGCTCGGCGGCAGCGCGGTCATGGGACTGGTCCAGTTCGCGTGCGGCCGCCCGCTGGAAGTTGCGAAGCGTCGCCGCCGAGCTGCGTGTGATGCGGGGCGGGGAGAGGGGCGGAGGCGGCGACACAGAGGCATGGGGGAAGTCAAAGTTGCCTGCGAGGAAGGGAAATGCGGCCGGTGGAGGTGAAGGGGGCATGATGGATGATGTTGGCGTGGCCCATGGGCGGGGGGGTTGGTCCGGCGGGTCGGCGGGTCGGCGAGATTATGCAGACGGGCAGCGTGCTGCAGGTGGTGCTGGTCGTAGGGCGTGCGAGGGCTGGCAGGAGGGAGGCGGCGTGTCTGGAGGCAAAGGATGGACGAGGTGTGTTGGATGAGGTTAGATGAGGTCCACAAGGCGAAAGCCAGTGCCAGCGTGATGTCGGCAAGCCACCCCCGCGTGGCAGCAGCCGGCGCGGGATGCACGGGCCAGATAGTCCAGCATCCGACATTACAATACGCTGCTGGGGGCGCCACCCAGGCACCGCAGAGCTCCGACTTCCAAAACTGGCTGCTCCCCGCGGTCTCTCTGTCTCTCTCTCTCTCTCTCGCTGCCCCTCTCTCGCTGTCCCTCTCTCGCTGTCTCTGCCCCAAGACAGCCATGGCCCACGACACTGCTGCCGACGGGCCTCCTGCGGCCACCAATGGCACTTTCCCTGCCGAGGACGACGCCGCCGGCCAGACCGGAGCAGCCATTGCGCAGGCCGACACCATATCTGCAGGTAAGAGAGCGGTGGAGGCGGTGGTGAAGGCGCAAATACTCATGTTCGGTTGTAGAGGAGATAGCCCTCTACGATCGCCAGATCCGCCTGTGGGGAGTGCAGGCGCAAGAGAAGTGAGCAGCCCCGATGCGCGTGCGGATGGACAGCTTGCTAACCTGGTGCCAGGATCCGCACGGCCAACATCCTGCTCGTCTCGATCAAGGCGCTCGCCAATGAAGTTGCGAAGAATCTAGTGCTGGCCGGCATCGGCTCCATAACGCTGGCCGACCACGAGGTGGTCACCGAGGACGATCTGGGTGCGCAGTTCTTCGTGTCGGACGCAGATGTGGGCAAGAACGTACGTCACCCACCCTCTGCGCCTTCTCACCCCACTCACCAGGGTAGCGCGCCGAGGCAGCAGCACCACAGGTGCAGAAGCTCAATCCCCGAGTCAACGTCAACGTCATCGCACGCGACATCCGAACCGAGACGGACCCCATCTTCTACGCCGCATACGATGTCATAATCGCGACCGACCTCCACTTCCTCTCAATGAATGAACTCAACTCCCTGGCTCGGTTGGCGAACCGGCCCTTCTATGCTGGAAGCGCACATGGCTTCTACGGCTTCATCTTTGCGGATCTTATCAGCCACGATTTCGTGGTAGAGCGTCAGAAGTCAAATGTTCTGACACGCACCGGCCGTGAGTCTTCGACACGCCATATAATCGCCGCTTCCACCAAGAAAGAGAATGGTAAGATGATAGAGATGGTCACCAAACGCGAAATCTACACTCAAATATTACTCGCCAACACGAGCCCGCTGCCTGAGGAGATTGAGAAGAGCCCCCGTCGACTCCGCAAAGTGAACCCCCTGCTCACATGTGTACGCGCGCTGTGGGAGTATCAACGCGAAAAACATGGTGTCTATCCTTCGCTCTCAGACCTTGCATCCTTTACGAAGCTGGCCATGGACAAGCACAAGGAGCTCAAGCTGCCCCCCGAGACGCTCAAAGACGATTTGATTCGGAATTTTGTGCAGAATCTGGGGAGCGAGCTAGCACCCGTGACAGCGTTCCTCGGTGGCCAGCTTGCGCAGGACGTTATCAATGTCTTGGGTATGCGCGAACAGCCTATCCAAAACTTGATGCTGTTTGACGGCGAAACAAGCGAAGGACCCATCTACGCACTGCATCCAATCTTTGAAACGGTTCCGGATGTCGACCCCAAGGCCGTTAAAGCGGTTACAGGTGTTCCCACCGTTCCCACAAATGTGCTTGAAGAGGCCACCTTTGTAGGCTAGTCGTGTAGTCATCGTTGGACGATGCACAATCTGAGGAGTAGGCGCGAATTCGGGACAGGCCACCTTGGGTATGGCCTCGTGGGGAACTTTCATGGTCCATCTTGGGAGACTATAGACAGAAGTTTGCTTTGGCGCAGTGCATCTGGAAGCGGGATGAGAATACCCCTCCCCTGTCTGAAGACGGGCGATACATGTGCATAAATGGTCAGATACGCTCAGGTTAACCGAGATGCAATCATATCATGCAATTAAATCAACTCAACATGCCCTTCCCAGATGTGACGTCGACGGCCTTTAAGCATATGGTAGCAGGCTCAAATTTGTGGTGTGTTGCTATACCTATGCAGGCGTACTCTTAAGCTCAGGTGGACTTCGCAGAGAAAATATTTGTATAATGAGTCTTACGATGTCCCTAAAAGTTCCTCAATAAATACTACCACTGTGCTCCTGAAGCCATACATGTCGTGTTCAACACCCCGTCCAATTAATTCTCTCCACTACCCCTCACTCCCCGCACCTTCCAATTCCCAATCCCCACTACCCCACTTTGCCTCGTCTCGCTAAGTCAGTGCATCTTACCCGGGTCCTCCCCCACCGCAATTCCACTTTCCATTATATGCATATTAATAACTCAGAATCTCCATCGAATAGAACAACACCTGCATCGGTGGTTTAGTGGTAAAATTAGCCGTTGCCAAGAGCAATATCGGCTAGCCCCGGGTTCGATTCCCGGCCGATGCAATTCAGACTTTCTTTTTCTTTTTGGCTTTTTGCTTGGATGGAGAGTTCCAGTGGTGATGGCGGTGGTTTGTTTTATTTTTGGGAGAAGCTTAGATGGGGGGATGAAGGACTCCAAGGGCATGGCGGTAGTGTGTTGGAATGTAGCTGTTTGCTGATGAGCTTGTTTGAGGCAGGGATAGGTTAGATTTGAGTATGGTCAAGAGTTGTTTGTGTAGCAAGCAAGTTGAAGTCAGGACCTTGTCCGAGGCCTCTGAACGAGGCTCAGAGCGTCAGAAATATGCACTGTTAGGAAAAGAGTAGAATATGTGCTCATCAGTTGCACCGCCGATATCAGTTGATTGCCTTTTTCATCTCGGGCTCCCTCCTCATGTCTCTTGATCAGTTCCCATCTTGATCAGCTTCCATCTTGATCGGCTTCTATAGGAAGAGGTCAACATTATCATCCTACAGTTAGGTGTCAAAGGTGATTTTGATTGATCTGCTACACAAACACCCCTTAGGGCTTGCTTCATGACTTATATCCTCCAGTTCATTTTATGTTGGAGGTGTTTGTGTTGAATCAATGGACATATTGAGCATGAGAAGAAATAGTTTACTTGTTTCATTAGGACACTGTATCGTCTATGTAGCACTATCTGTGCAAGATTCTTTTTGTTCTTTTTCTTAATGTGTTTTCGGCCCTCATACACTCAGCGTATTCAAGACACGGCTCAGCTTGTACGCATGAACACATAAACCGTCCTACACCATAATCACGTATTGTGATCCCAGACCCCCCCAGTGCTGTGTGACATGCAATCATCCGTTTGAGTGTTCATCTTACATGCCCTCTTTTCTCTCACAGTCTCAATTCCCAAGCCCTTCAGCTGCGCCTCGACTGGTTTCTATCCATCTCTCTGTCGCCCGCTCACCAAACCACCTCACCCACCTCCTCCCAAGCCCTCCTCTCCTCCCCATACAGCCCATCCCACGAGAACACGGCCGGGGACGAGTAATCGGGATGAAGCGAATCAGCACCGTGCGATATAAGCAACATGGCGAAGCGGAGGATGCTGTGCCAATGGGGAAAATTGGGAACCGGCTCTATGAAGCGGAGCCGGAAGTTGATGTAGAATTTGAGCGAGGAGAGAAAGAGGGTTTTGAGTAATGCCAGGTTGTGTATGGCAGCGCGCATGTCCTCAATGTTATCGTCTGCCTTGAAGATGAGACCAACTTCAAGCACGGGAAGACGCTGGACGACTTTCTTGGCAAAGACTTCGAGAGCGGCGAACGCGGGCGTGTCAGTAGGAGGGATAAGGAGGCGATCCGCGGGTGCGTCAGAGTAGGGTTGCAACTGCGCTGACTCGCCGTTCCTAAGCCTCGCGCCGAAGTTAATGATGGGGACCAACAAGGGCAGAACCTCGCGGAATTGGGTAGAGCCAGTGGCGCAGACGACGATGAGTTTGGTCGCCTTCTTACCGATCTGGGCAACTTCCTTCTGGATGATGGGACTTGCCTCCTTGTAGATGGTCCGACAAGTTCCCAGGATAGCTGTGGGGACTGAGCGAAGGATGAGCGTGTAGCCCACTCCCATGTAGTCCTGGATTTCGTTGTGGCTGAGATGCTCGTGGTTGCCGTCGTATTGGTAGTGATGGCGCTTGGTCTCGATTGGCAGAAGCTCATACACCATAAGGCGGATCTCCGTGGGCAGGCGCATGAAAGGGAATGGAGACATGTTGACTGCGGCCCGCTTCCTGCCGGTGGAAAGGAGTGTGCTTACCGAGAGGTTTGGGCGGGTGCCCCTGGTGAGAGCGGGAGTAAGAGGGAGGGAAGAGGCAAACCAAGCGGCAGGCAGTGCCCTACCAGCCGACTGCAGTGGGTTGCTCGAGCGAGAATGCAAGACAGAAGAAGACAAACCCAGCAGATTGAGAAGAAAATTCGTACGGCCCACGTGGCTTTCACGGAAAGGTGAAGGAAAGGGAAGAACACTCAAACTCGATAAACATTCGGCCAAAACAACCCACGAGCCAGCACACCCCAGGCCACTCCACCTCTGTACCTCACCCTTTGAATAAGAATGGATTATGCTACATGAAACTCCGCGGAAGAAAGTCAAGCTCTACAGTCCCCTTTCCAAGAGGACAAGGCCAATTCTATGCAATGCTCAAGAGGACCAGTACATCCTCTGGTGCTCCAAAATACAGACCCAAAAATGCATACGAGGCCATCATACATATATCCACCACTCTCATCTCTTATATCCCCTAGCCCCCCTTCCTGATCTCCTCCTCTTTAACTTCAATATGCTGCACACTCGGCTCCTCCTCCAGATTAACATCCACCATTTCCACATCCGCCCTCGAAGCCTGACTCTCCATTACCACATCGCCCCCCACCGTCTCCGAACTCGCGTTACTCATCCCCGCCCAAGCTTCCACTCCGCCGCCATGCTCATGCGTCTCCTTGACACCCACCTCGCGCATCTCCTGCGCGCCCATCATATTTATCTCCTCATCCATGTCCGTCCTAGGCGTAAGCGTCTGACTGCTAAGTCCCGAATCAGCATGATATTCGTGGAACTCACGCGCGCTCGCTGTATTCCAGTCATACCCTTTACCCCCACCCCCACCTGCTCTCCCACCGAGATCCCAATCCGGCTTTTGATGATTTTTCCAGTCTACATGGTCATCGCCTCGTTCATTCCAGCCGCCGAATGGTTCTATGCCACCAGCGCCTTCTTCTTCGGGATAGTCGCTTGAAAGTTCGCGGATAAAGGCGATGTTGTCTTGTTGGACAAACTTCACCAGAGGTTCTGGGAGTGGGATTTCTGGAACGGAGGTTGCGGCGTCGTTGGCGTAGACGAAGAGAGCTGATTTGTGTTCCGAAGTTGCTTGTTGAATGACTTGGGAGAGGGTAAGGCGTTCGCGGAGTATGACGGCTTCTGAAGTTGCGGTGGAGTATTCTATGCGCCACCACTGTTTGGCATCGGGAATGTTGGACGATGTGTCGGGATGTAGGAGGTAGTACACCGATGGACGAGTGGAGACACCAACGAGCTTGTATGCGTGGGTAGGCGTGTACTGTGTTGAGTGGGCGTTGCTGTCGGCTGTGATATCCATGACTGTCTCTGTCCCATCATCAATGGGGCCCTTGTATCGATGGGATATGCTATCTAGCAATTTCCGTATTTGGTTCTTTTGATCTTCAAAGACTATTTTTTGTTAGATCATATCATCTGCTCTGTAGTTGTACTTACTCTCTAATTTCCGCTCTATGTAATCATAATATGATTGCAGCTCAGCGAGAGCAGATGTGTTTCGGGGATCCTCAATCAAATCATTTTCTGTCAACTCAAATGCCTTCATCCCCGACTTCAAGAGCGCCAGCGACTCAACTTTGTCTCCATTTGGCGTCTTGTGGTATTTGACTTTTGCCGCCTCGCTGTCTATATCCGTAAGCTGCTTTTCATACTGCCGCATCTCTGAGAACATGGCATCCACGTCCTGTTTTGTGCTTTCCAAATAGCGGTCCGCGTATAACGTAGCAGGAATCTTGATGTCGAGACCCGTCGCATCAGATTTTGCCGCCTTGATGTTGAACACCAGAACATTGCTAATATCCACAATGTAAGCACTCTGAGAAGGATTTCCTCGCAGCTCGCTGTCTAAGACATCGTAAAGTGTAATGTCCCTGGTGGAGTCGTCACGGACAACTATCGTGTTCAGTATAAAAAAGTCTTCCCGTTGTCCACATGCGATGACACTTGACCGAAAAACCCCGTCCAGCTGAGCCTGAGGAGCCTGGTTCTCGTAGGCTCTGCTCCATGTGAGGAAGAATCGAAGAACATCAGAGTCGTCGTTGGCCCGCGGATATCGCTCCGAGGTCCACGCCTCCAGCTGGAACAACCCCCCCACACTGCCATATGCTCTTTCGGAGTTGTCTAAAAAGGCCATCAAGCGCTGCAGCTCGTGGATGATCGATAAATCGTACGCGTCGCCGATACTGGCGCCATCTACAGTGAGTGCGGCTGCAGTAGCGTGTCCGCTCCACCAGTCGTCGCGCAGGCGGTAGGTCTGTAGGGGCAACTCCGGCGCAAGAAGGGCGTTTCGGAACAAGGGTATCGAGTGCAGGATGGCCAACAAGGCTGGCAGATAGTCGCTGTTGGGCAGAGGCTTAATGATAACGGGACCGCCTTCTTCGCGCTTCCGCCGACTCGCCACTGCGTCTGGGATGTACTCGGCTGATTTTGTCGTCGTGACCAGGGCCCAGTTGTTCGCTTCATAGGACTCTTTGGTCGCAGGGCCAAACACGGGCGCAGCATTGCCTATTACTCCAGACTCTTGGGTGTTTTCCACGCTCTGTATTGGTGCATCGCCCATGTGCGCAGACGAGGCGGCCGAATGGTGGCTGTTCCGCGAGGGTGGTCGGCTGGGAGCGCTGCTGTGGGGATAGTTGTCGAAGCCGGTTGCATAGTCGATAGTGAAAGCTGCGCAGCAGACGTCAGTGCCAAACTCGTGGAGAAAGCGTGCGAGAAGACTGGGGCTAGGGCGAACACTGACTGGGAACTTTCGTATTTGAGTCGTCCTGCTGGCCGTACCTGTCTGCGCCGAAAGCAGAACCGTCCCAGCCCAGATTCTGCTGCTACGCCTGTTAGCGCCCCATATCTGCAACTCCACCGCTACCTCTGCTCACTGAAATGGCGCCCAAGCCCTGGTCGTAGAACTTGTTGATGGCCGCCTCGAGGTTGTAATCGGAGATCTACGTGCATGCGTAAGCATTTCCCTGGCTGAGAACCGCTGTGCAGCCAACCTTGAGGAATTTGACCGCCTGCGCGTGCGACAGCTGCCCATCCACGAGCTGGGCCAGCATTTGCGCATTCTCTTCCAGGTCGGCGGCCGTCATGTTGAGTGCGCAGGGAACGTGGGAGCTTGCGGGGTTGCCAGGCCGCAGAGCGAGGGAGGGCTGGTGAAGGTTGTTCCAGGAGAGCGTGAACGGGTGAAGACTGCAGGATCTGGTTCAGA